CCAACCCCCCACCCCCATTTGGCTCCAAAGTTCCTATATAAACCTCAAATCATTTCCTTTATATCCCACAAGCAAAAAATAAAATAAAAATCAACAAAACTACATTTAATATTTAAAAAAAAAATGGCACAAAAACAAGCTTCAATGTGCTTAGCTATGATTTTCGCCGCTATGATTTGGGGATGCGTGAAGGCCCAATCGAACGATTGCACGAATGTCATAATCAGCATGTCGCCGTGCCTCAACTACATTTCCGGCAACTCATCCGCCCCGTCCACCTCTTGCTGCACCCAGCTCCGCACGGTGGTCGGAGCACAACCGCAGTGCTTGTGTCAAATACTCAACGGTGGCGCCTCCAATCTCGGACTCAATATCAACCAAACTCAGGCCATTGCTCTGCCCAGAGCTTGTAATGTGGACGTATCCACCAGCAAGTGCAATGGTCAGAAATATAGCTAATCCAAAACTCAAAATAATAATAATTGTATAATCTTATTTATTTATTTTTTAACTAACAATTCTCTTGCTATATAATTTGCAGCTGCTGCTTCTCCATCTGCCTCTCCTGGTTCAGCACCAGATTCTCCCGACGCAAATACAGGTAATAAAACATTTATAAAAAAAAAATCTTATTCGAAATCGTATGTTTTTTTGTAAAGCAATCTTTTATTCATGCAGATGGATCGAAAACTACCGGAGATGGTTCGTCGGATGCAAGTTCCAATAAGTTTGGTGTTTCTGTGCTGTTTTTCGTTCTCTTTGTAGCATCCTATGTTTTTTCTGTTTGAAATAATTATATATACATATATAGTGGTTATTTCATACGACGAATATTAATTATCAGATTTTGTACCGTATTTTGGATCCTCTTTGTAGTAAAGATTATTTTGGTAGTAAAACTCGATAAACTTGTGTATTGGGAATGAAGCTCGAATCGAACTCAATTAGGAAGAGGGGGAAAAGGCTAGATATCGATTAATCCAGGAATTATAAAAATCGATAATCTTACACAGGAGTTGTTTCAGTTGATAAGAGGACTTCTATACAAACCAACTCGAAGAAAAGAGAAAAAATCTCGAACAAATAATAATCGTAATTAAAACTCGAAGCCAGCACAAAACTGAAGAGCCATAAATATCATTTTCCTAACAATTCTACAATAATAGCACATGCAGCATACTAATCTACAACATGTAATGTATGTGTGTCGAACCGGTTAATCCACATTAATCGAATCTCTCGAATGACTTCTAGCTTCGTTTTCTCCATCTGCAACGATAAAATAAATTGTTACCGTTTAATTACTTACACAAATCGTTTAACTATAGTGCCATGTTCCATAGATCTCTCGTTCAAGTTTCTTGTTATGGCGATGAGTTAAAAATCACCGACAAAATCTTTAGTATTTACCAACTCAACTATGTCTAATACTGTCAATCCAATCGCAAATTTTCCAATTGTCGTAAGCAACGTAAATAAAATATACTTAAATAATTAACTATCACAATAATAAATATTTTCAACAGGACTCACCCTAATGAGAGCGAGACCGCATAAATTCTTCAAGTTTGTCCCACACTTCAAGAGCTGCAGCTCTATCCTGATGCCTCTTATTTTTGCTAATCTGAACATAAAATTAGTAATTATTTCAGAAAAATAAAATCGAGATGCGTTTGAACAACAATAACGAGTTAATAGACTGCAATAACAACATAGGAGGCAACAAAAAACCGACCGAAATTATCTTGACATTCCACTGCTTCACAGTTTTTGCTGATTCCACGCTGTCATCCTCGAAACGCATGTAAAACCCAAGAACTGCCGTATAAACAAAGCATTGAAGTTACTTATACGACGTGTGATTCTTATACGATGATATGCTTACAATTGTCATTTGCCAATACAAGTAATAAACCTATTAAACCATGCACTATATAGCAACATTAGACATAGTCATCGTCTTGGCGTATAAAATCCATATGCTAAATTGGTTTTGCAATCCAAATAAACCAGCTAATAAATATCGTCCGGAAAAAAAATAATAATAAATAAAATAACTAAAAAAAAAGGGTTTTCGATTCACATTCATAAAGGTGGAGATAAGATGACAGATCTGCACTATTCCATACAACAATATAAGTCGACCAATGTGCGAGATTATACACCGCAAATCTATTCAACATGCAAACCAGCACTAAGTCATATATAAAAAAACACGAATGTGTATTCAAATTTCAATTGCAACCAATTCAAGAAAACTTACTCTTGTTAAAGATTTCAACATGGCCCTTAAAAGGCCATTCTTTGAACTGCCACTCCTTGCCGAGAACAAAAACGGCAACCACACGATCCCAATCATCGCTCTTCAGTGCAGTCGGCTTATCCCTCACCTCGTAAGCCGTCACCACACGATCCCTACTGAACTTCTTCTGCACCGTCACGCAGTCGGGTTTTCCCCCTTTGGCTTGCTTCAATTTCACATCTGTTGGAATATAAACCCCATCTTCCAAGAAGTCCTTCACATTATATATAGTGATCAGAGTCGAGAAGGCACTCGGGACCAGAATTATCGGCACGCCTTCCCCCATTTTTCGCATCTTGTTGGCATCTTCGCCTGTACTGAAACCCCGGCTTTCGATTCTGTTCTTCGCCACGATGTTGTCTTTCCTCTGCAATGCCTCTGTTCTCTGCCTCTCCTCGTCTCGCTTCGTGGCTGCAGTCAGAACGCTGTAGAAATCCCTATTGGCGAACACCAGCATCGCTTCCCTATCTTTGATTGGCTTCTCTTTTGCCCTAATTAATTCGATTAGGTTGCCCTCGCTCTCGGAAACGAGGGGTTCGGCCGCCGCCGCCGCGGCGGCGGCGGAGGAGTCGTGGTGGAGGTTGGGGCGGTCTAGGTTGGTGATTTGGGGGTTTATGTTGGGGAAATCTAGGGGGACGATTGAATCGGAGGATTGGACTTTTCCGGTGAGGTAATCGAGGAGGGGTTTCCGATCGGGGAGGGTGACGGCGGGGATGCGGAGGGCGCGGGCGTTCTGGATGTAGTCGGTGTGCTTGAGGTGGTGGTTGGTGATGAAGTGGACGAGGGTTTCGAGGGTGTAGCGGCGCGTCTGCTGCGCGTGCTTGGAGCGGTAGGCGGTCTCGATGGTGGCGGCGAAGGAGTAGTCGGAGCCGAAGCGGAATTCGTCGTTGACACGTACGATTCTGTCGAGGGAGTTGCGGATGGTGTAGTCGCGGAGGAGGGTTAGAGGGTCCATCGGCGGTGGCGGAACGGCTGAGCTAGGTGGAGTAGATGGCACTAGTGAATTTAATAATTAAATCTTTTAAGGAGGGTTTGGGCCTTTGGATAAAAATATGGAAAGTTAAGAAATAATTTCTACTAATCTCAAATTGTTAAATACTAAATTTTAATCCAAATAAAATGAGTGAAATATATATTTTTTGTTCCTTTGAAAATAACAAAGATATTAATCTTATTAGTTGGTATATTTTTCCATCCATGTGTAGTATATAGTATATACATAATAATTTTGATAATATAAGCATAATTTTTCAATGAGGGTCTTTGCAATTATTTTTCGTAAATTAAAATTGGATCGAAAAAATGATTTTTTTCAAAATCATTTTTTTTTTAAATCGGTAGAATATGAAATTATGCACAAACTTTAACCTCAAATACTACATCAGTTAAACATCTATAAATTAATACAGTTGTGATAAATTAAATTCTATTAAATTAGCGACACATTAATCTAATAATAGAACTTTTAATATGTTGTCCTCGAGTTAGAATCAGAAAAAAAAATTTATTTAAACAAGATTATTAATTTATCGGAATTCTAACTCACCCACAATACTAAAAATTGTAACTTGAATAAATTATGAAAAACCAATAAAATGTAATTGAAATCAACCATATCACCATATCACACTCATCCATAAAATTAATTCTTTCAACATTGGTATTCATTCATATACAAAGTAAATATATAATATCCATAGTATATTTATTTTACAATTATAACACAAGTTTTTTTCACAACTAAATAATAATAATAATAATAATAATAATAATAATAAAAAAAAAAATCAAATATCCATGAAATAATGAACAGCAGGATCAGTAGACAAAAGGCTGAAAATAACAGCATCTCTGGGCTTCCCCTTCAACAAATAGTACTTCCTCAAAACCCCTTCCTTCACAAACCCCGCCTTCTCCACCACCCTCTGCGACGCCGGATTCTCCGCATCCACCACCGCCTCCACCCTCTCCAAACCCCCCCACTCCACGAACACCGCGTTCGCCGCCATCCTCACCGCCGCCGTCGCCACCCCCTTCCCGCAGTACTCCGACCCCACCACGTACCCTATCTCGGCCCGGCACTTGTTGCTCCCCTGGAACGGGCTCACCGACACGCACCCCACCACCCGGCCCGACATGCATATGGCCCGGTTCCACGGGTGAGTGATTTCGTTTCTCATGAAGTATTCCACGGCGGCTTCTTTCGTCGCGAATACGTCCCACGAGCAGAATTTGCTCACCTTTTCATCGAAATACCTGGTAATTATATATATTTTTATTATATATAAAAGAAAGAAACGCTGGGCAACCCTAAAAAACTCTAATGATGTTTTTGTAATTATTTATTTTTAATATATTTTTCTACTAATTGTTTTACTATATTTTTCAACAATTATCAATCTCCTATTTTTCATTAATATATCTCTAATCTTAAGAGATGTAGAAATATTTCTTAAATCTTAATCTATATATTTGTATTATAAATCTTGATATGCAATATTTAAAAAAAAAACTAATGTTATATAATCGGAAGATTGAAAATTGAATTAAGGAGAAATTAGAAACAATTAATTTAACTTTTTTAGTTTCACAGTAATTACCACTGCATGAAGTGGTCGGCGTCGGAAATTGTCACCGGCCGGAGAGTGATGTCGGAATCGGAATATCTCTCCATCGGAGCTGCTTCTGGCAAATTAGACGATTTTGTTGATTTTTGTTGTTTGATTAATGCTTCAATTTTTTTTAATTTTTTTTTTGTTTTAATTTAATTAATAGCCGTCTCTCCATTTCTTGATAAATAAGGAAAAGAAGATGGCATTATTTGGTCAACTCTGGCACAAGGAAAAGTCAAAATTGGTTTTTTCTAAGAAATTACACGGAAAGTGAAATCAGGTTACTATTCATTTTGCTTTGGTATGAACGGCCATGAGTTGGAGACAAGAAAAAAAAAATAGACATATTTTAAACTACTTTATAATAATAAAAAAAAAAAAAAACAATAAATGAATATAAAATTGAAGTGACAAATATATCTCAACATAACATTAAAATAGTATTATATTGTGTTCATATTTTTGCAAATGTTTAATAATGTAATACAAGACATTGAACTAATTAAAATAAGATGCTTGTCACGGGACGACCAATAAAGTGGTCCAACTAACAAGTCCATTTGTTCTAGTATTTTGTTGTCCATACAAAAAAAAAAACATTATTTATTCATTTTTGTTTAGAAAACAAAAAACCATTATTTATTTATTTGTTTATCCCATCTCATTAATTACAATTCAATTTGAATTATTGAAATCCGAAATAATGGACTCCACAAGAATCTCTCTCCGACCGTTCAAACTCTCCGACGCCGACGACTTTCTAGCATGGGCAAGCGACGATAAAGTCACCCGCTACCTAAGGTGGAACACCGTCACCACCATAGAAGAAGCGCTAATCTACGTCCAAAAAGTGGCAATACCGCACCCGTGGCGCCGTTCTATTTGCCTCGACGATCGTTCGGTCGGATACATATCCGTCCGGCCGGAATCCGGCGACGATCGGCACCGCGCACATATTGGCTACGCCGTTGGAAGTGATTGTTGGGGTTTAGGTATTGCTACTGCAGCTGTGAGATTAGCAATCCCTAGTGTTTTCGAAAAGTTTCCATTTATAGTAAGGTTGGAGGCTTTGGTGGAGGAGGAGAATATAGGTTCACAGAGAGTGCTTGAAAAGGTTGGTTTTGTTAAGGAATGTTTTTTGAGGAAATATTGTTTTAATAAAGGTGAGGTTAGAGATATGTTGATTTACAGTTTTTTGAGCACTGATTTACATTGACCATACGAGAGACGTAAATCACACTAGACTGACAATGTGTGACAAACTTAATCTAGCGACAGTTGACAAAAGAATTCGAACTTGTGACACATGCTCGTTTGCTCGGTCGCTAGGTCATAGGGATTTGCATCAACAATCTTTTGTTTTTTCTTGGTGTGGACAATCAAATAATATTTATTTTCTTTTCTTTTGTATATGAATGTCCCTTAATTTGATATAATTAAGGTGAAAATTGGAATGTAATTTTCTATTTCCAAATCTTAAATAATATTTTTCATTCAGAATTAAGAATAATATGGAGTTTTATTTATTCTAATGTTTTATATTGAATTTGAAATATATATGAGAATTGTCAAAATTTCCCATTAGATCATAATTTTTTTAAGATCCAAATATTCTTCGAAAATTATCATAATTTCTCTGAAATTTGGATTTATAATATCAACTTCCTTATGTAGTTCATATTATAAGTGAATTAAAAAAAATGAAATTTTCGAGTACTGCCAATGTATCCGAAATTAACGATTTGAGACAAGTTTTTTACATTCCAATTCATGATTTGTTAATTTTTTTTTTCTAATCTTTTGCAACGAAACGAGGATTACTTCTTTAGTTATCGAGAAAATTTGACATTTTTTTTTTCTTTCGAAAGCACTAATTCATCTCTGATTCGTCCGATTTCAAACCACTAAATGTAATCGATAATACTATTGCAAATACTTAAAACGAGGTAATAAACAACATAGTACACTACGAACTCGATTTAAACGACGATACTATACATGACAACATCGACAATCTTGCCCTTCAACTCCACATAATTCCTCAAAACACCCTCCCTCTCAAATCCACTCTTCTCGAGCACCCTCTGCGACCCTCTATTGTCCACGTCAGCGACACCCTCAAGCCTCCTCAAGTGCGGCCACTCCTTAAAAATCGCAGCGGCCGCCGTTTTAACCGCCAGCGTGGCGATCCCTCTGCCCCAGTACTCGTGTGCCACCACGTAGCCAATCTTTGCCCGACACCTGTCGTATCCGGAATCCGTGCACGGCGTCACGGTTATGGATCCGACGGCCCGATTGTCGTCGAGGCAGATCAATCTCAGCCATGGATGCGGGATCGCGTGGTTCTTGATGTAGTCAACTGCCTGCTCCTTGCTGGTGTAGGTGGACCACAGGCAGAATCTCGTCACCCTTTCGTCGGTTGCCCACGTCATGAAATCGTCCACGTCGGATAGTTCGATTGGCCGGAGGGTGATGTTCGTCATCGAAGATTCTGGAATATTCCCTTCTTCTTGTGTCTCTGATTTAGTATGATCAAGATTTTGATTCATTTTTGTGTGTGTGTGTGTGTGTGTGTGTTTTAATACTTGATGTTTGTTAAAGGAATTATTGGTTTGTTTGGTCATATAATTCAAATAAATAACATTTAAAACATGGACTAGTTGATTGGTACAAATTTGACTAGTAAAATGGCAGAAAATATATAATGTTTGAAAAAGGATCATATTTTTTGTTTGGAGGATCGAAATCGGAACTAAATTATTGAATTCGGTCTATTCTGATTTAAAAAGTTTCCTTGGAATAATAAATTTATATTCTGATTTCAATTTGTTTTTTTGAACTTTTAGTAGCTAAATTGGAATATATAAGACAATTTCCAATCCAGTTTTAATTAATTCCAAAAAAATGATATATTTTCGAAAATCACACTTATGATATTATACCAATTATGTATATTTTTTATGGAAGAATAAAATATGGAACATCTAAATTCGGTTGATGCCGATCCCAAAAAAAATCGCTTTTCGAACAAATTTTTCATTTCAATTTCTGAAATCACAATTTCGATTTTTTTTTTCGGAACGGAATTGAAATAAATTTTTAATTTGTAAAAAATAATGAATGTTGAGGAATATTATTTCTCGGTTAGAATAATAAATTATTATTGGAAATGATTAAAAAAAGATAAATTAGGTCCTAGTAAAAGGCCACCAAATTAATAAAAGGTGTTTATGGGCCTCTCGTTAATATGCACAAGTGGACAAAAAATCAACTTATCTGGCCCAAAACTAGCTGGAATGAACTAATCTAAACCACCCCTTGAGGTATGATTAAATTACGAAAACTCCCCTCTTGTTTGGATAATTACAACCACCTCCTCAACTCCTCAAATTTAGTGGAATCTTCGAGATTATATGAAATATTATCACTTTTGTACCCGTTTTATCCCATTCGAACACTACATTTTGAAGCAAGATGATCATGATATATGTTTTTGGCTTGTATATATCATATTGTGGTGCATCAGAAACTGTATTTTTACACAAAACGAGTACAAACTAGAGCACATTCCACGAAATCTAGATGAATATGTTTAATGTGACACCATAAGGGTGGAGGTGTAAGAAAAAATCATAATTGAGGGATAGATGAGGGGTAGATGTAATTATCCAAACAAGATGAGTTTTTTTGTAAATTGATCATACCTTAGGAGGTGTTTGTAATTTAGCCTTATTTTTATTATTAACTCTAAAGATGTATTTCAATTTTATTTTATTTTAATCCTTTGCAACGTGACCTTACAAATACACTCAGTCAAGGGGATTCGATCGCCCGACCTTGATTAAGCCCGACTACAGACAAGGCTCCGGAAGCCTTACTGATTTTCAATATTAATTTGTGTTAAAAGCAATTGAAAAAAGAACATGTATTAACGCCTCGTTTGGTTGGGAGATTAGTCATTATTGACTAAATAATAAAACTTCGTTTGATATTTGGTATCTTCAATAATTTATCATGTCGACCCGCAAATATTATGTTATCATGATTGATCTTGCCTTCTAGGTATGTTTTTAATTGAATCTTCAGTTTTATTAGATTATTTAATCTTATCTTGACTAGTCTTATCCTGGCAACCAAACGAGATCGAGAAATCATAGTGGCAGGCACATCTCGCACCTTATTTCGTAACATTGAGAAGTTATGGGTAAAATTTGTTTTTTTTGGATGGTATGTTTCAATTTTTATGTCTAAGATTTAATTACCCACTTCTTTGATGGGCCCAAATTAAATTATCCTATATATATGGAATGATGATGATGTCGATAACATTAATAAAAAAGATTAAATTTGATGTGCCCTTTGGTGGGGTTTGTTTTTCAATGACTACACTATTTCTTTTTAAAGATTATTATTAAGTCATTATGAGATGACACTTTACCCTTATCAAGAAAATTATGCTCTTTTGATTAAAAGTTTGACATGAACACTTAGCTACTACATTATTTTGGAGAAAACAAAAATGAATAATAACATGTAACGTTGGTTTAGTTAGTAGCGTAAAAAGAGCGTGTTGTCTAACCATCTAATCTCGAATCCTTTTATCAGTATTTTCTCGATTGATCTTGTAGTATAAGATTTGTCTTATAGAATTTGAGTTTCTTGCGATTTACAAATTATTGCGTCAAAATGAAATTTACTCAACGTCCATATATTTCATTTATGAGACAATTGTTTTTTCAACTAATTATGAGACAATAAATAAATACATAAGTAAAAACCCTAATATTTGTTTTTTTTTTATAAATTAATTATTAGTATTTTTTGTCATCTCTTATATTTTCTAGTTTTTTTTTTCTCCAATGGCTTTCACAGTAAATCAAATTTGCAAATTCGCTAGCAAAATCTTAATCCGTTTTGATAGTGTATTTTTTAACTCTTTTTATCTATCTTACACACACCAACGTGGATTTTTTTTAAATACTATTAGTTATCATATATTTAAATTTTCTTCTTTACAATCCCGTGCATCGCACCTGAAGAAATACTAGTTGTTCTTAATCCAAATGTAGACTTAGGGTTATAATAAAATTACAAATATCTTATCTTAATTAATCTCATGAATAACGACCAGATTGAACATAAACTAAAGTATTTTTCAAGAAAATCTAATATATACAATAAATAATAATCATCCAAATTATTTAATTAGCCACTAACAACTAATGTTGCTTAATTTCACAAGCCTTGTGGTGGCGGAGCATGATGGTGATGGCGAGGAGGACGAGCGTGGTGGTGGCTGTGAAGACGTGGAGGCTGTGCACGGTGGCTGTGAGGAGGCGGAGCTCTACCATGGTGGTGGTGGTGGTGGTGGTTTGATGAGTCAATGGTCCACTTTTCTTCATACAATTGTATTCCCTCGTTTAATTCACCAATTTCGAAATCCAATTTTATTGACTCTTCTTCCAAACAGTGCGTAAGAGATGGAGTTATGGCCAAAACCAATAGTGCAAATAGAAATAAAACATAGTACACACGTAAGTGTAACCTCATTTTTTTCTTAATTCTTTAATTAATTTAGTTATTTAGTACAAAAGTTCTATGCAAAAATTGAAGTCTTTCTATGCCTTTATATAATGTACATAGATGTATGACTTCGGATAATTAAATGCATTGGTCAATGATAAAAATTAGGCATTTAATTTGTATGCATTTATTACAAATATCAAGTATGGGCAATATAATTACTACATTAATTAATGGGGTTTGAATTCTATGTCCAAGGACAATGACTTAACATTGTTTAACTGTTGTAATATATGCAATATACAATTAATTCATTTGGTTATATATTACTATTGGCCATGATGTGAAGATATGTTTAATGCATTGTATTTAAGGATTAGTGTTTTTTTCTTTCCCGATTTTGTAGATGCTACACCCGTTGAAATATACCAGGTGCCCCTGCATCATTAAGCTACACATAATAATACATACACTCATGTGTATATACATAGTAACACATTCAACCTCCAATTTTTTTGCCAAAAATCTCTTTCACAGTCCCTCCAATATACATTTGGTTTCATTTTAGCCCCTAATCTTTAAATTGCATCAATATTATCCCTCATCTCCTAAAATTGTCCCAATGGGTTCCTTCTCTTGACATACCGTTGAAATAATATTTCGTTAGATGTTAACGGAATGTTAAAGGAAGGATCACATTGGAACAATTTTAGGAGATGAAGGATGATATTGATGTATTTTAAGACGAGGGACTAAAGTGAAATAAAATATAAATTCCAGGGACTATACAAGAGATTTGATCTTTTTTTCACAAGAAAGGAAATTAGTTAACTATTTGAAACCTCATTAATAAATGTATTAAAATTCATCATATAAACAATTTACTTTTCTTTTTTACTTTGTCATTTTTTTCTCTTTTACCTACCCATTAAAATTATTTTTAATACATCTTTTATATTTCACATAGTTTAATCATAGCATAAAGGCATATTCAATGGTATACTAATTATGTAAAAATATAACTAGTTTTTAAATACCTTTCAATCCATAGTAAAAAAAATGAAAATGAGGTGAAAATGAAAGAAAACATTTTTTAAAAAATATAATTAAAAAAGAGTTGTGGGGTCACACTGCAATTATTGTAATTGGCAGGTGAGTATCAAGATCAAGGGGCCCTAATTTTGCGTGATTGGGCCCACGCCATAGGCTTATGAGTTAGTCGACGAGTCTTTGACAATGATGGTACTGAGCCGAGTCGGTGGACCCCACTTGTTTCCCATCCTTTCCCCTAAATTTAGCAACTTTTGTGGGTCCCACCTTTTTTCACTAACTCCAATTTGATTACATCACCTTCTATTTTACTATTTATTCTTTATTTATGTTTGGACATTTTATCTAAAAAAGTTTACCTATAAATAGTAACATCGAAAATCCACAAGTTTGGTTCGTTCGAATTAAGAACCACTGTTTGACAGGACGAGTTATTTATATACTACACTCGATAAATATTACATCTTGTGAATTTTTATTGTTGATCAGCATACACAAATGTAAGTGTGTTTGTGTGTTTTTGTGTGCTTATAAATGGTAAAGATCGGCCTAATATATTTTAGGGTTAACTGCAAAAAATCCCCTAAACTTTGGACGTTTTTGCACTTTACCCCCTGAACGGAAAAAAGTTGCACGAGCATACCTCAACTTACTAATTTGTAGCACCGGAACAGAAATTGTCCATTTTTGGCAAAATGTGGCCGGAATCCACAACACGTGAGAAGCACATGATTTTAGCTGGATAAAATTGGTCTTTTCCACTTACACTTATTTTCTTCTTTTTTAATAAATATAAATAAATCTCTCAAAAAGCAAAAGAAAAAGAAAAAGAAAAAGAAAAAAAAATTCATCTTCTTCACGTCACCACCACCAAAAAACAAATTACTCTTTCGTCCTTTCTTCAGCCCACCGCCCGTCCGCCGCCCCGGCCGATTCTGATTTTGCCGCCTGCCGCTTCTAATTCGCCGCCCCTCCGCCGCTTGCCTGCTTC